GCTCGCTGTCCACCCGGAGTCCTGGTTGGACGTTCGTAAACCCTTCAGGGGGGTTTACGCTCTGGTTCCGAGGAGGTTGGAGACCTGCCCTCGGGCCTGGATTATGGTGTGATGTAGTTTTAGCGGAGATGATGGGTTATTATTGTAGTATCACTTAGCAAAAGTAGGGGCAGGTTGCAGAGGCCGCCAGAAGCATTTCTGCACCACGGAGACGTGAGCTGTCAATGGGGAAGGAGTCAACACCCACATTGAGTAAAGGAATGAGTGTCTCCGCTCTTTGAGGCTTCTCTTGTGGTATGGGCACTTGTTTTATTGTTTTGTTTTTACTGACTGCTGAAGAGTGCTTGCCCTTCCGGGATGTGGCGAAAGGGGAACTCTCCTACACTGTGCATAGGACTGTAAATTGGTCAAGCCACTGTGGAGGACAATATGGAGGTTCCTCAAAGACCTACAAATAGAATTACCACATGATCCAGCAATCGTACTCCTGAGTATCTCCCCAAAAGAACGGGAGAATGCTCAGTAAGGAAAGCGCTTGCACATCCATGTTTATTGTAGCATTATTTATGATTGCTAAGACATGTCCATGAACAGATGAATGGATTGAAAAAGTGTGGCGCATATACTCTGTGGAATACTATTCAGCCATAAAAAAACAAGACCTTGGCATCTGATAGAAAAATTGTCAAATACGGAAGATTTAGTGCTGAGTGAAGCAAGCCAGGCTATGAAAGAGAGACATTGTACATCTCCACTTAATATATAGCAACTATCTGAACTCTACAGTAGGGACTGAAAGATTGGAGGATACAAAAGCATGGAAAATAATTATGGACACTGGAGATAGTGTGGAAGGAGGGTGGGAGACGGGAAGAGTGTAAATGGTCAAATACGGAAGATTTAGTGCTGAGTGAAGCAAGCCAGGCTATGAAAGAGAGACATTGTACATCTCCACTTAATATATAGCAACTATCTGAACTCTACAGTAGGGACTGAAAGATTGGAGGATACAAAAGCATGGAAAATAATTATGGACACTGGAGATAGTGTGGAAGGAGGGTGGGAGACGGGAAGAGTGTAGAGAAGGAAATTAGGGAGAAAAAATAAAGAAGCAAGACATTTAGGGGACACAGTAATGATAATGTGTATAGTATTCTCAACTGGACTGGTCTGAGGTGTATTTCATGTTGGCTGAATTCTCTTTACAGGCCAAATGATGTATAGTGATCGAATGTATACTAAATAATTTTTTATAGAGTGCTTGCCCTTGCCAGAGAGACAAGCCGAGAGGGACCACAGTGGAGTGTGGTCATGTTGCAATCTATTCTCCATTTCTCCATCCCATCAGAATTTTGGGCATCTTGCACATGCATGCAGTTTGTTTTTGTAAGTTGCTGGGGACAGGATTGGAGCCACATTGACCATGTGGGATCTGACTTCCTTAAGTCCTAGGCTATGGTGGCAGCCTATGGCATTTTTTTGCTTAAATTTTGCCAGAAGGTGAGTGTGCTCACCTTAAGAGAGAGAGAGAAAGGGAAAAACCATCTCCCTTTACCCCTGTCAGCCAATACCTTTTCTTCCATTCCTCACCTCCCACTCCCTTTTATTTGGATTTTTGAGCATGCATGCATGCACATGTACTCAGCACATTTTCCAGGCCACAGGATCCAGGACTCAAACTGCATGGGGCTGGTTGTGTAGAATCCAGCTGCTTTAACTGCCAGGCTCAGGGTTATCCTGCTTTTATGAAGTGCTTCATACTCTTTCTGAAAAGTTAAGATGAGCTGCGCATTGGACAAGATGAGCTGCATCCTCTTATCCAATGCATTGGACAAAGACTCACAAGTCTAGGTAGGGGAACATCAGCATTTCTTGCTGATTTATTTATTTATTTAGGATTTTGCTATGGGGCATATGCACTGGCTGGAGAGAGAGAGTCAGAGAAAGTGAGATATCACCCCCTGGTGGGGATGGCCATTCCGCAGTCCCTTTTCCTCCATTCTTCTCGTGGGATTTAGGGCACACATGCACCCAGTATGATTTTTCAAGCTGCCAGGTCCAGGACTCAAAGCACGGTTGGCCATATGGGAGTCTAGTGCCTCTACCTTCATGCCCCCTTGCTAACATTGTGCTGTCCCTCCTTCAGAGCTTTTGTTTATCTTGGGCAGAATGTGAGCCAGTGCTTAACCAATGAACTTTGCAGGAGTCCTTTGGTCTTTAGACCAGTAGTAATTCTTCCTTGATTTGTACTTCAAGAAACCAAGGCGCAAGTGAACTTTGAAATATAGGATGACTTAGTACTTAGTAACCACCAGGAAGGTACATTGAGTAAGAAGCAAATTGTGGTTAGTTAGAAATATAGAATACATGGAGCCAGCAGGTGGTGCAGTGATACCTCGCAGGATTCCCAGCTGGCCAACCATGACCCGGTAGATTGAAAATCATGCCAGTGATGTGTGCGTGTGTGCCCAAGATCCCAGCAGGAGAATGGAGAAAGGATTGTGGTGTGGCCACCCCCCCCCCCCCGGGGGATGATTTCTCACTTTTCCTCTCACTGTCTCTGTTTCTCTATCCAGTGAGCACACATAACCTATGGCAAAAACCTCTAACAAAAAAAAAAGAGAGAAAGAAAAAAGAAAGAAAGAAATACGGGATACAGAAAAAGTGAAGAATGGCTTGTTTCAATGAAATTTGGAGTTTCATCAGTAGTAATGAAACGGCAATAGCAATTAACTTTAATTGTCCTTTTCCTCTATCTGCATTATACTGAGCCCAAGAGATATGTTGTACGTTCACTTCAAGATTGTCAATATTAGTATTACGTAAAGTTTCTAGAAAACCAATCTCCAAACTAAGTAAACTACTATTGGTGCTTATTAGTTCATAACACATTAATAGCATCAATATGACCTGGGAATTTGAACAAAAAATAAAGCTTCTCATACTTCCATTTGATATTATATTCTGGCCCAAAAAATGACTGATATCTTTATCAGTAGGATATTGATTTTGAACTGTGTATTTTCATATGTTTTAAAAACGGAGTCTTTCCTTTTCTCATGTTTCTGACTCTAGCATACTCATTTAAAATAGGTACCAAGACTATGTGATTGTGTCTTCATATCTGGATTTCTCAGAAAATAAATTATTGTTTGCTCTCTAGAGTCGCATGTGTTAACGAAGTGTTAATGGAAGGTAGATTCTATGATGTGCCTCTTCAGGTGAATCATTTAAATCTTCATTTGTAAATTGAAATAATGATTGGGAACCAGCAGTTAGCGTAATGGCTATGTCGCTGGACTCCCACGTAGTCGACCGTGGTTCACGTCCCGGACCCGGTGGCTTAAAACTCACGCCAGGCGCATGTGTGTATGTGCCCAAGATCCCGAGAGGAGAACAGAGGCGAAGGGACTGCGGCATGACCATCCCCCCTTGGGGGGGTGATTTCTCGCTTTCTGTCTCTCTGTCTCTCTCTGTCTGTCTGGCAAGCGCATGTGCCCTATAGCGAAAAACCTCTCAAAAAAAAAATTGAAATAATGATTATAAAATTTACTTCACAGGGTCATATTTTGCTAATGTACATGGTAACGCTTAATTAGGTTCTAGTTCAGTCTTATCTTTTGCCAGTCATTTGATTTTTCCTTGTTAAGACCTCTTGTGTGAGAGACCAGCAGGTGGCATGGTGGTTAAGGTGCTGGACAGTCCCACATGGCCGACCATGGTTCAAGTCCTGGATCTGGTGGCTTGCTTTTTCACTTTCTTTCTCTCTCTGTGTCTCTCTCTAGTTAAAATAAAATAAGTAAATGAATAAATAAAAATAAATAATTCTTTTTTTTTAAAAAAAAAAAGAGCTCTTGTATGTTTGGACACAGCACACTGAGGAGTGCTGCCATGGAAGAGAGGAGCTCCGGCCCTCTGTTCTTGCATGCTCTGACCTCAGGTCATGACCGTAGTTGGGCTCTACACCCGAGATCCATCTGTATGGCAAGATTGGCAGTAACTGCAGGGCTACCATGTGGCCCATGTCCTGCCTCTTTGTTTACCTCCTGACCTGGAGTTTTCTTTCTTTCCACTGAGCTTGGTAATGGATGTTTGCATCCTGTTATCCAACACATATAAATCCTTTGTAGCAGGAGGGGTTTTGACATTTTCTAGTGTTCCGTGTTGCCAGAAACAAAAAGTCTGGAGGAATAATAATCATTATCCTCAGTGACGCTTAGAAATATATATATTAAAAAAAATAGTTCATCCTAGGGATTGTAAGTCTTTCTTCAAAAGTAACGGCCCAGGGCCAGCAGGTGGCGTGGTGGTTAAGGCACTGGACTCCCACATGACCGACTGTGGTTTGGGTCCTGAACCTGGCAGCTTGCTTTCTCACTTTCTCTTTTTTTCTGGTGAGTGCATGTGCTATATAGCAAATTAAATAATAATGATACATTAAATAACTCGTAAATAAAAAAGCAAAGGCACACCAAGCATATAATAAGACTTTGCAAAAAGTGATTTGAGTAATGGTATTTTTCTTTTAAGTTTACTTATTACTTTTATGAGCAAGAAAGAGGTACAGAGAGACAGCACCTGCAATAAGGTATTAATGCCATGGTCTGTTTCTAGCCTCACCCAGACCCAGTCATAGCCCGTGAGTTCCCAGCATGCTCAGGGAGGTGTCTCAATGTGAACCTGCAACTTTTCCACATGGGTTCATCTTGCAGAGCGTTACATTTTACCACCGCACCACTGTCTGCCCCTATGAATAATAATCTTTTGCCCTGAAATATCTTTTCGGTTTTGTTCTTCCCCCCTACAGAGCACAGCACTGAAGAAAAAAAAAAATTGATGTGTTTCGGGGCATTCAAAGCATTCAGAAGGTGACCAACCATGTCTTTGGACGACATTAAGATGAAATGCAGCGACTTCATAGAGAGGGAACACCTGGACAGCGGAGGCTTTGGGAAGGTGTCTTTGTGTTGGCACAGGACTCATGGACTGGTGATACTGAAAAAGGTGTACACAGGACCGAAGCGCACCGAGTGAGTGGGGAGCGGAGGTGGGAGGGCTGGCCTCTGAGTCGGCCACAGACGTGGTTGTCATGGAGGTGTGGGCAGGGCGTGGGTGAGAGCGGTGGGTTTAGAGTGAGCAAACCCCAACAGAGTCTCAGCACCCAGGCTGTCTGCAAGAGTGACAGGAGTGCTTCTCATTGTTATCATCACCGCTGAGGAGAAGCTCACAGCTAGTAAATTACAGAAGAGAAACGAAGGGAGAGGAAGTGGAGAAAGAGAAAAGAGAGAACGGTGATGGGGGAGGCCGTGAAATCAGAATGAGAGGCATCAGTGAAGACAGATATTTGGAGAGGACCATCCCTAAATATTAAAAAAAAAAAAAATGGTGGTTCGTGTGTGAGTGACTCCATGATATTTATTTAGTTAGTTAGTTAACTTATTTATTTCTTCCTTGAGAGAGAGATACAGAGACAGAGAGAGGGAGAAAGGCATCCCGAACAGGCTCGGCCAGCCCAGATCACATATACATGTGGCTGTATAGGGAGACCCTGGGGCCCAAACCCAGGACCTTCCCATGTGGGTCTGTCAACAACAGCATGGTGTTACCCCTGCTCATACCACAGAGCGTTGTATTACCACTGTGCAATCATGGCTGGCCAGGAACTCTCTAAAACAGTGGGTGGTATACTTTTTACCTTCCTCTCTCCCTGTCAGAGTGGTTTCAAGATAATCTTTGTTTGTTTTTAGGTTTTTAGTTTTTTCTATAGGGCATACATGCTCACTGGAAAGAGACGTAATGAAAGAGAGGGAAAGGGAGAAAGCACCCCGAGAGGATGGCCATGCCACAATCCCTTCTCCATTTTCCTCTCAGGATTTTGGGCATGCATATACGTGTGCCTGGCATGTTCCTTAAGTCTTCAGGTCCGAGACTTGAGCCACACAGTCAGCCATGTAAAATATAGCCACCTTAACCTCCGTGCCAACTGCTGGCCCCAAGAAGCTGATTTTCCTTTTTCTTCTTCTTTTTTTTTTTTTTTTTTGAGAGGTTTTCGCTCTAGGGCATGTGCGCTCACCAGAAAGACAGAGAGAGACAGAAAGCGAGAAATCACCCTCCCCAAGGGGAATGGCCACGCCACAATCCCTTCTCCTCCATTCTCCTCTCAGGATCTTGGGCACACACGCACACGTGCCTGATGGGAGTTTAAGCCACCGGGTCCAGGACTCGAACCGCAGTCAACTACGCGGGAGTCTAGTGAAGTAGCCACTATGCCATCTGCTGGGCCCGAAGCTGTGTTTTTCATCTGTCCTGCCTACCACAGTCTTTTTCAGGCTACGTTGCTGCTGTTCACTTACTTTTCATTCATTCGCTCACCGTGAACAGTTCTTGTGTGCACGCTGCTCGGTACTGGGCAGGAGGACAGTAAGGCTGAGCGGGAAGCTGCTCTGGCATCTACCGCTCATGATTTGTACCGGGAAAGAGCAGTGTGGACCGGAACGTGACGGCAGCGTGCGTGATGTGGAGCAGTTGGAGGAGCACCCCTGCTCTCTGACACAGCAGGGGCAGGGGCTCGCTCTGCCCACCTCAGCCGAGCATCTTTCCCACCCTCAGGTACAACGAGTCACTCCTCGAGGAGGGGAAGATGATGCACAGACTGAGACACAGCCGGGTGGTCAAGCTGCTGGGCATCATCATGGAAGACGGGAACTACTCCCTGGTGATGGAGTACATGGAGAAGGGCAACCTGATGCACGTGCTGAAAGCCGAGGTAGAGCACACCTCGCCACGAGGGCCGTGGCCGTGGCCGTGGTGTTCGTTCGTATGCTATAACATGACCCCTTTGTGGATTGCTCCATGTTTATGATTTTCCAAAGTCAGTCTCTTCCTCACCTCTCTTTGCCCAAGAGGTAACCTCCTGCTGGCAGTCCTCTGTGTCGCTCGCTCAGCTGCTCCCTCTATTGGGCCAATCCCATAGCATAATGGTTACGGAAGCCAGATCCCACATGGCTGACTATGGTTCAAATCCCAGCCCTGGTGGCTTGGAAAACATGCTGAGTGTATGTGCATGCATGTCAAATCCCCCCAGGATGGAGAAACGGAGGAGAAGGGATAAAACCCTATTAAGGGCACTTTCTCCTCTTTGTCTCTGGCTAGTACACACGTCCTTTGTCAATTACGAAATTTAAAAAAGAAGAAGAGGCTCTCTCTTAAGTTTTAGGACTGTGGCTAGTTTTTTTTTTTTTTTAATTAAAATTTTTTTCTTATTTATTTGTCATGATAATGAGCGTGTGCACATTCTCATCAGAGAGACAGAGAGAGAGAAAGCACCCTCGCTACGCTGCAGTCCCTTATCTCCAGCCTTCAGGTCCTCAGGCTCTTGGGTGCCCCTATGCAGGCACCCAGCATGTTTTCAGGCTGACCTGGGGATCCGAACCATGATGGATCCCAGCTTCACAGTTCGGTATGCCATGAACTATGCCACCTGACTAGGCCTGTGGTTGGCTTTTTTTTTTTTTTTTAATGAGGTTTTTGCTGTAGGGCGCATGCACTTGCCAGAGAGACAGAGAGAGACAGAAAGCGAGGAATCAGCCCCCAGGGGGGGACAGCCACGCTGCAATCCCTTCTCCTCCATTCTCCTCTTGGGATCTTGAGCACGCACAAACATGCGCCCGGCATGAGTTTAAGTCACCAAGTCTGAGACACGAACCGCGGTCGACTACATGGGAGTCCAGCAATGTAGCCATTACGCTAACTGCTGGTCCCTGTGGTTGACTTTTTATGATACTCATCAGCCACTCTGCAGTCCGCAGTTCAAAGACAGACCTTTTTCTTCATGAAGCACATGATCTTATGTGGGGTGCACACATCCTGGATTGTAATTAAATATGGATTACTGGTGAAAACATGCACTGTACAAAACTGAAAGAAAAGTCAGGTATTAGCAATTGCCACTGAATTGCATTTAAGAAACTTGTTTTAGGTTAACTATAGAACACGAGTGGCAACAACACTGGAGAAATGTAAAAGAAGAAAATAAAAATTGTTTGCCAAGACAAAATAACTTTGCAACACGTATTAAAGTGCGTGCACCCATTAAGATCAAGGCCTTGCACTAGTTGCTCGGGAGCTAATAATAGCCAGTATGACACATCCGGGTGAAAGGAGACAGATAAGGAAGTAGATTATGGTGGACAGTGTTTTGTTTGTTTGTGTTAATTTTACTTATTTCTTCTTACATGCATTGTATTGTATCAATCATTTTAACTGGGTTGTTCTCCCAAAACTGGTTAAGATCAGCTGTCTGAAGTGAGTAGGCATTTTGATGGGAAGATAAGTCTCTGGGGACACAGACATTCTACACATCAGACAGAGGTAGGGTATGCCACTTGTAGTTCAGGAAGCAAAGAGGTGCTTAGCTCTTTCTCTCTTTCATAAAAGAAAGATATAAACTTAAATAAAATAAAATCTATACATGCGGCCAGCAAGTGGCACAGTGGTTAAGGTGCTGGACTTCCACAGCCGACTGTGGTTTGAATCCCAGACCTGTTGCCTTGAAAATCACATTGGGCACATGTACGTACATGCCCAAAATCCCTGGAGAAGAATGGAGGAGAAGGAATTGCAGCCTGGCCATCCTCTTTGGGAGGGGATTTCTCACCGTTTTTCTCTGTCTCCCTCCAGCAAGTGCACATACTCTATGACAAAAACCTTAATTTGAAAAAAGAAAGAAAAAAGACATACTAGGGGAGGAGAAAAAAATCTTTTCTGTTTCTTTGTATGGTGGTGATGAAACTTATTAATGCTGTAGTTCAAATACATTATGCGTTAAACATGGTTTGAAGAGGGTGGTCTTAGAACTCTTAAGTGCCATCATTTCATACATATACATTTTTAGAAAACATCGTGCTTGTAAACTAGTGTCTCACTGTGGAACAAAACTAAACTTTCACTACTAACCACTATAGAAACTAGAGTTGTTTGTGTTAACACTGATGTTTATACAACTAGAGTACAATTATAAATAAAAGGTCAGCCGATGGCATAGTGGTTAAGATGCTGGACTCCCACATGGCTAACTGCATTTCGAGTCCTGGACCCAGCAACTTGAAAATCTTGGGTGGATTTATGCCTGGAGTGTTTCAGGTCACTTCTTTAATGGGACCAGTCTTCCACCTGGCTCCGGCTTTGCAGAGTGGCAGCCTCGCACCTGTGCTACCGTGAGTGTGTGAGGATCCCTCCACTCTTCATGGAACAGTTGTTTTGACTTGATCGATCCCCTTTCTGTTTCATGGATTTCACGTCACTTGTTTTAGGTCAGTATCCCGCTTTCTGTAAAAGGAAGGATAATTATGGAGACCATCGAAGGAATGTGCTACTTACATCAAGAAAGCGTGATACACAAGGACCTGAAGCCTGAAAATATCCTCGTCGATGACGACTTTCACATTAAGGTAAATCATAATCTATAGGCATATGGAAGTTGAGTCATTGAGTATCATTCATTGTCCAGGGTAAATCCACTCTTGTAGAACATAGGTGATGAAGGTAGACCTAGCTAGCGTATAATTGGTGATGGTGCCGCCAGAACACCCTACCAAGGTGTGAAAGGAAAGGTGCAGACTTGGTGAAGTTGGAGGATATAGACAACACATGCGTTTTTCAGGAGTGGGATCGAGTTCAGTGAGAAAAATCTCTTTACATGCTAGCTGTGTAGCCTAGTGGTTAAGGGAGTCAGATCCCACATGGCCAAAAGTGGTCTGAAGCCTGGGTCCTGTGGCTTGAAAAACATGCTGGGCACATGTGCATGATTGATTAAAATCCCAGCAGGTTGGAGAAATGGAGAAGGGATTGCAAGTGACCATGCCCTACTGGGGGGTATTTAATTCCTCCTCTTTCTCTCTCTCTTTTTCTCTCTCTTTCTTTCTCTCTAGTAGAGGGCATGTACCCTCTGGCAATTAAAAAGAAAAAATAAATCTCTTTCCTAGATTCTCTTTTCCTTCTCTGAGATGGAAGCATTCCAGGGTTGCCTTACTCACCTTGGTATGGCCATTTGCCCCATCCTTTTCCCCTGGAAATCTGAGTGACCAAGAGATCACCGCTCTAGAAAGGCAGGGGAATATGGAGGTGTGTGCAGAACATCTTTGCAATTTAGATACGGCCTGAGAGTCACATCAGCAAGTTGGCCATTTTGGCACCAGAAACCTCTGACTTGAAATTTGCCTTGACTTATTTATTCATTAAATAATTATTTTATTATTTATTAAATACTTATTTTATTATTTTTACTATTTTCCTCTCTCTTTTTTGAAAGAATTATTTTATTTAACTTTATTTATTTATTTATTTTAATTTGGCCAGAGAGGGACAGAGTGAGAGAGGGAGAGAGAGAGAGAAAGTGAGAAAGCAAGCCTGCAGGTCCAGGACTCAAACCGCGGTGTGAGAGTCCATGTGGGAGTCCAGGGCTCTTAATCACTAGGCCACCTGCCAGCCCCTATTTATTATTATATATATATATATTTATTTATTTTTTTAAATTTGACTAGTGAGAGAGACAGTGAACGTGAAAAGCAAGCTGCTAGATCTGGGACTCAAACTGTGGTTGGCCATTTGGAAGTCCAGTGCCTTAACCACCAAGCCACCTGCTGGCTCTGGCTGATTAATATTTTCAAAAAATTGGTTCCTTTACTTTTTTCTGTATTTAAAAAAAAGTCACTTTCCTTTTGAAAACTGTTTTTCTGTTGGAGTAAAGGGAATGAAGAGAAAAGGACTTTACTTTTGTCCATTTAGAATAAAAAGGATTGGACCGGGGGAACATCACATCTGATTGGCTCTGACAGCAGGA